TATATTTTTAGTGCATATTTCCATATTTTTAAGCGCATTTAGTTCTGAGCCCTACTTATGACCAAATCGTTGGTCCCTTGTTAATTTCCCGTTTGTCCCCTGTTAAAAAAAAATTCCCGGTCTGAAATATTAACCCAGTCCGTCCTTGTTTTAAAGTAATACAAATAGTTATTAAAGTTATTAGTAATTATTACTTTGTATATTATGTTTTTATACATGTTTTATGTTTTATATAGGTATCTCAAATTTGTACAAAAATTCAACTTTCCATTAGGAAGGGGAGGCGCAAATACATTAATTCTCTAGGGGCGCCACCAGACCTCAATACGGACCCGGTCAAAATATATTAAGTAAACTCTTTACAATAGGATTTTTCTAACAGGTTAGCGAATTCAGGTGCATAGCTAGGAATTTCCAAGTGAGGTGTTACGATAAATAACAGCCTTAATTGAAAAATAAACCATGAATATTATTATGAAAAAATATACCTACCATATTTGTCTACAATACTATTTATATTTTGAAAAGTGATTTATAATATTTAATTATTACATTCATCTTAATCGATGACTTGTAATACTTCAAGTATTACATTTTCTATTGACACTAATATATCACAATATAAATGTTTGGTTAAAAAAAAAAAATAATAATAAAATTGTAAAAGTAAAATGTTAAACAGGTAGATAAAAAAAAAAGAACCTTCCAATAATTAGACTAAAAATGGTAAAATATACTTATAAATGGTTAATTTTTATACTGAACCTTTACTCAGATTCATTCAATATGATGGTTTAAGTTTAGGGATTTCAAAATCTGGTAACCCTACCTATTACTATTATCCAGTCCAAGGACCGAAAAGAGGAAGAACGAACTTCCCCTACCATTTAAATAATAAATTTATATATTTATACAATAAAAACTCTGTATTTCTATACATAATGAATAATAAGTATTTAAATGTAAATTAACATGAACACATTTGGGGCTGCTAATTTCAAAAATAGGGGTGCTAAGTACACTCAAGCCCCCCCTCAAATTGCGCCAATGAATGAATCTAAAATTTTTACATTTTAAATAATTTACAGATAATACTATAGTTATTAAGATATTGAGTTAGGAAATGCCGCCCCAGGCTATGCCTATGTTGCCTGTGTCTTACGCCGGGCCTGCTTATTGGGAAATGTGACACACACACACACACATATATATATATATATATACACTAGCTGACCCGATGATTTTCATTTGGTCCAAAAAAGCTAAAGAAAATACTAAACTCAGTGTATGGTTACAAGACGGGGCAACTTGTTATACTTCAAGAGAAACAATCCCTCTGCTGCGTGATAAGTTCTCGGACAGATTAATTTCATTGCGTGGCCAAAGCTAAAAAGCTACCCCCCTCGATCCTCGATCTTGCGATTTTTTTTTATAGGGATACACTAAGTCACGAGTTTACCAGAACAAAGTTCGAAATGTTTTGAAACTTAGGAAAGAAATTTGTCGTTTCCTCAACGAACTTGATGGGGCAATGTGTTATCCAGTGATGATAAATGTTATGGAAAGAATAATCGCTTGTAGGACTAGTTAGGAGGGTCATATGCCTGATATTGTTTTTCACTGTTAAACCTAAACTTCTCCTGAAGAGAATGATATATTTGTTATGTTTTTTTAAAAGAAATAAATTTAATTTATAGCAGATTTAAATCCTGCGTTTTTTTTTTTTTTTTTGAGACACCCAATATCTTTTCTTAATCCTTGAAAAAAAAAATTTTCAGTTGCATTACCTGTATAATTAAAAAATGTTTATGTTAAATATTAAATTTTTGCAGATATGTACCTACCTACTTCTAATTTCCATCCAATTTATATTATTACGTAACGAATTTAAATAGTATAATTAATATAATTTTCATAGTAATTTATGTGTTGTGTACGGTATATACCAGTGGACACTCGAACAATTACAGAAACAGTAATTAAGTAATTTTTCTGAAATATATATAATTGTCGCATTACAGATAATTTATAATGTAACTATTTTACACATATTTATATTCGTAGGTACCAATTTATTATTTTAATTTTAAAATATTACTTTTCATACGATTAAAGAATACGTACAAAAAATATACTGTATAATTGAACTTGATTATTTAATAAACATTCTGATGGTTAGTATGTTCTAAGATTACATTTTGAATACAAATCGATATTTAATTTTAAAACGGTAAAGATGTGACTGGCAGGTAAACATTGAATTTAATATGTATAAGTCGTAATCATATCGATAAAACGTACAAGGTTAAGTCAAATAAGTGCATTTAATATTATATAAGAATTTATAATTGAATAATAACAACAAAAATAATATGTAATGCATAAAACGAACAAGTGTAAATAATCTCCGTTCACCACGTATTTATGCAATGTTACATCGATAATACTCGTATTTAGCGTTGGGAATATCACATAAAATAACTGAGGTCAACTGGTAAAACTGCGCATAAAAACTACTGATTCAGTGTTCATAAGTCATGATCGTTTACAATCTATCCTTCGCTTCGCATCGATGTAGCAGTGCCCATAAATCAACAGCTCTTGGAGCAAGCATACGGGGGGGGGGAGCTCCTCTAGATCTGTCGCTGAGTATGAATAATAAGAGTAACTGATTTTTATCTTAACATTATTCGTAAATTCGATTTTAAATCGCTTTTATTCAAAATATCCTTTCCTGAAATGGCATTAGGTTAGGGTTACGGACAACGGTATATATTTGGTATATACTGTTAATTTCCCGTAACCCATTGAGGGCTTATGAAGGCGAATCAGTTGAAAGCTCGCCCGTTGAAAATCTGTTTACTTGTTCAGATCTTGGGCGATATAGTTACAACAAGCGTCATTGGATTGTTAATTACCTACTCAGTTGAAACTAAAAATATAACCATGAGCATATTGTTATGCGCCACAAGAGTACTGACTAATCTTCGTATCAATAGATTTTGTGTACATTTTATAGGCATGTCTAGTAATGGGCAAATACCCGATAAATATGATTTCAGGTAAATACCGGGTATTTACCCCAATAAATTGGATAAATTTATTTTTAATGCTAAAACCAACCCATGGATATCACAATACTTTTTTATCATTGTTTCCTCATTTTTTCATGTTTTTCCAAGACTGATGATTTAGAGTACATAAATTATATTTATGAAGTTTTTGTCAATTTTATTCACTTTGAAACCAATAACACTTATAATGGGAGGCAGATAAATCTTAGAATTTAAAAACTAACCAAAACGCTTAAAATCTTGAAATGAAATTGATTTAATAAAAATGATTATGTTTGACAATAATAAAAATGTTTACCAAATGTTTGATAGATAAATATTATAGTGGGTAAATATCTGATAAATACACAAAATATTTACCTACCCGTCGGGTGTTTTTACCCACGGCACATCGGTATGTACGTCCCTTACTCTAACGCAGTGGTTCCCAAACTGTGCACCGCGGTGCTCTAGGGGCACCACGACAACATTATAAGGGCACCGCGGTCTACCGTTCATAACAAATAGTTTAAAATGTATAAGATTGATTTTTCCTTATTGTTTTCATAAAAACTTTATAGCAAATAATGTAAAATTGTCTATCGTATTATATAATCGGATATTCTCATTTTAACTTTATAATGTTTTTGCATAATATTTATAGTCATAATAACAATTATTTTTACTTATCTATTTTTTAAGTTTAAAAGTGTATTAATTTATAACTAAGTTAAATTTTATTAAAATTAATAAAATCGGTTATCAATAATTTTTTTTTTTTTTGTTCTTTAACGTTATTCAGAGCCAGGGCACCGTGGCTTGATTGGATCCAAAAAAAAAAGCACCGCAGAAAAAAATGTTTGGGAACCGCTGCTCTAACGTATTGTTGTGTCTTTTAAAAATGTCTAAATTATTTTCATTTACCTCTTAGTCTAATAGAGCATAACTGCTCCGAGCAGCTCGGATCAGCTCGGAGCTGTTTGGACATCATTAGAACACGTGTAAAATAAATAACGCGTGCACACTAATCAGTCAACATCAACATACAACAAGACAAAACAAAAAATGTTCGATCTTGATCCGTCCGGTTCTATTTTTGCTTCGAGCAAAATACGAAAACCAAAGTCATTTGTTTATTTTACGATTAGTCAGTGGCGAAGCAAGAGTATGGCGAACTGTGGCTACGCCAGGGGCGCGAATCGCAAAGGAGCGCAAAATTGTGCAAAAGTCGTATTTCTTATGCTATAATCAAATCGAAATACGTAAATGTTGTCTATTTGTACACATTACGTGCAAGGGCGAAATATTTGAGTTTTTTTTTTTTTAACTACTTTCATTATTTAATAAAAAGTGCCACATAAGCGGCACAACGACGTCGTCTTTGTCAGAACTCATCTTGACGACTGGTGTTTAATAACAAAAATTAATCCAGAATTATTGTGTCTTGTTCTGTTATATTTTGTCAGTGTGAATGGAATTTATTCCGAGCTGTTTGGAACAAAATGTTCCGCAAAGCTCGGAACAATTTTGCTCTTTAGGTGTGCGCCTAGCCTTAGAGTTAATTTCGGCCACTTCGTTTGACATCAATGCCAGCCGTCTGAATTTACGACTCGAGCGACTTACAGTTTACTAACGATGATCATATCAAATTATTAATCTAAAACAGCGTTCAATCGCGTTTGAAATTCTTATTATTTTTCATTTTTTCATAATTTTCAAATATTCGACCAACATCGAATGCCATTTTCAGTCGGGTTTAGAACTCGTAACATCGCTATTTCGTTTTCACAACAGAATTCCGTTTCGATCACAATTTAAGATAATGATTCCGATTTTATCTATTTCGTAACGGTACCGTTGTCGACAGTGGTGCCAGTCATGGCATATTAACGTAGATGTCGGGTTGGCGGCACCGTGACCATTGTGCGGAATCCACGCACCGATCTCTTTTGTTTCCTGGTCGCTCGTCGACAACCCGACGGCCGTCGCCTCTCGTTTCCCCGTCACCACTGTGTGTCTGATTACTGTGTCCCGCTATTCGTTTGTGGCGTGCTGACTTCGCTTGTCGTCGCCGTAATCCCGTGTCCGTTGCAAAGGTGACAGGAATAATCGCCGCCGTTTGTCCACGGCCCGCCCCTTCCACCAGCGATCACCACCGGACACCGTCGCGTTACGAGTAGTCCCTTGGTCGACCGATAGCGGTACGTCGTACGCGAGTACAACACGGTCGGTTGTAACTACGCCACGTCCGTTCCGTCGAAGTGTGGTGCTCCACTAGTCCCCGGCCCTACTGGCTGCACATCCGTTCGCCGACGCATGAGAATACGTATCGGCAGAGACAGTTCCGAGCAGATAGATTCACGTCCCGGCCCACTGTTATTGTTGTTATGTTCCACGACTGCGCGCCGTCTCGGTGGGACTGCAGGCCTAGAACAGTTAGCGTCTGACACGAACCCTCCGTGCACGTAAGTGTTGTCTCGTTAATAGCCCAAATTTGTTATCGCCCCGTTATAGTTCCCCGTAAAGTGAAGACGGACTCTTATTCGTTTTCGTTACTTCGCTGCCGCTACTACGACTTTCGTGTTTCCGGCACACGGTAGCCGACTTTTTTCGCCTTTGACGAAAAGACTAGAAAATCCATCCGAATACGGTGGTTCTAATATTTTAACAACAACACGGTTCGTATTCAAACGTGATCTGTGTTAATAAAAACAACAACGACGTTGTGCGACGGACATTATTATGTACAGTCTTGTGGCATGCGCGTGTCCGGATACCACAGTTGTTCGAGGTACGTACGGTTTACGCGCTTGCGGATCGGGGAAAACGATGAGTTCAATCGCAGTACGGCGTGTGCGACTTAATAAAAAAAGAAAAAAAAAAGCGCAAGCGTGAATCGTCAAATTACGTGCTGAATACGACCTTGGGTTTTGGAATTCTTGCCGTTTTCCTATTAGTATTCGCACGTTTTATTGCGTACGCGCACACCGGCCATTCTTTGTGCGTGCGCCTCGGAAGAGGGAGAAGGCTTGCGACCGGAGTGCCGAGCCCCTCCTCTTTGGAAGGAGTAACACGCGGAGGAGAGGAAGCAGTAGGGCACATCGCTCCCCGAACCCGGTCGACTATTTCTCGTTCGTTCGTGTTATTATTCATCTTTTCGGGTCTTCACTAGTCGCACATTGACACTGGTTTTTGTCATCATCGGCCGACCATTGCTTCGTTGTTATTATTATTATAATTAAAATTACTACTATTACTATTACTACTATAATAAACGATCATTGTCGTTGAGCAACTACCCATCGTATGAATTCTCGTACATGAGTGGACTTAATAACACGCGCTGTCCGTGGTTGCATTCATTTTTTGACGGGTTTTTTGTTAACTACATTGTTGCGCACTTAATACCTTTCATATACGTCCATACTTATTGGCCATTGTTGAAGTTATAGTGGTTGAAGTATTCGTGATTTTACGTATTTTTCGTGTCCTAATATTAATAAATATAATTATATTTATTAAATTACATGTTCATATTATAGGGGAAGGGGAAGGGACAAGTGCGCCCGTTCCAACGGATGTCCAAGTATGAGCACCTCTGAACTCAACTGTGTTCTCTCAGTTTCTCACTATTGTACGCTGTGTATCAGATATGTTAGACCAATTTATATTTAATAGAAACTTTTATAAGAATTTTTCGGTATGTTGTGTGTGTATTTACTGCGCAAACGTACATTATTCCATTAGGAAAACAGTAAGCGATTATTGATGTAAAGAAACTTGAAATAATCCTATTGATTTTGCATATCAATACCATGACGTGTATATTTCATATATTTTATTAATTGTTTTAATTACTTTTATTAAAATAAATATTTAGATTACATTTTTTATATATAATTATTATTGATGCTTAATACATAGATGTATAGTATTATTAAAATAACGATGAGATGCAGATTTCGTTATACGTTTATTAGATTTTAATTTGGGTCACTCCGTCATTTTTTATACTGGGATCGCGTAATAAACGTTAGCGTGTTTAAACAAGATTTTGTAATGATAGTTGAAATCGACGGTTTAGTTGTTGCTAAGGACTTATGTAGTAATATGTAACTTGTACAGAATCGCGTGAAAAAAAGTAATCGTATATACGGGACAATACAAATCGGGTTCCATTGTGTGGTATATTCAACATACTCGTAACCCTGTTTCACTCCACTCGCCCTTTACATGTTGTGTATGTGTGCACGTGGCGATTTTTCTATCATTTTTGTTTTCCGATTAACCTGGTTCGTCTTTATACGCGTCGTTTTTGTGCGCCTACAATGATAATTATTGTTGTAACGACCGCTATTAACATATTAATTCTAAACTATGATTTCGTACGGTGTGTGTAAGGTGTATTTTATTATTTACAACCGCTGTGCGACGTCGACCGTCGTCCTACTATAAATAACCAAAATCTCCCGCTGTTGTTTCCGAACATTCCGCGGTTCTTCAGGGTTAGAGTACTACGAGTTATCACGACGGTGATTTGTATAGCAGTCGGTCGATTATTTCTGTTCCGTGTTTTACATCGCAATATTTTTACGTTTATTCGAGCTACATAATTCTGTCACCACTGTTGCCGTGGACTTCTGACAAGTAATTTTTTTAACATCAATTGGTTTTGAAACTAAAACGATGTATCAATGGTGAATTGCAGTGCAACCGTTTTCAAGGTACTTGAATAGACGTTCATAATTATAAAAAAAAAAAAAAAACATCCTCTTAGAATTCCTAAACTAGGAGTTAGTTCTGTTTTTTTATCAAACAGTCACGATACCAACACATGCATTTTAACAATAACAACAATAATAATAATAAGTACTAATGTCTATCTTTTTCTTTTAAATAGCTTAATTTATTTGAATAGTATGCGAGGCTGATATTTTTAGAACGTTCCATGTACATTTTTTATTTATCTTATCACAGTATTATTATTTGGTAATATTTTATTTCTATCTTTAAATATTATGAATTATAATAATATATGCCCAGACCATTGTGCAATGAGTTAATGATGTATATTGAACTCATAAGTTTACCTCTGAATATATTGCAGCAGTGTGTTTGGACATCTTTTTCAAAAAAATGTTTTTCTTATAGTATTGGTTATACCACTTAAACTTATATTATTAATAATTGTATGTCTTATCTATTTTGTTAGATATATTTTTTTTACTATCATTTAAATACTCATTATTTCTAAATCTTGATGCGTAGTAAATATTATTTTTAATTAATTTCAATTAAATACATTATTATTAAAAGTTAGTACCTAACTGTAAAACTAAAAGTTTTCCCCCTATTTACAATTAAAATAATAATAAGTTGACCATAATTTATTCACTATGTTGTACAATTTAAAATATTTCAATCACATTGCTTTATAGAAATCATTTGCTAAGAATATTTTCAAGAATCAAATTTTACAAAAATAATCTATATCATTTCTAAAAATATGTATCAACATTTATGATTTCTGCATGGTTACAATTTATTTACTAACAGAACATTCAAACTCAACTAAACTTTGGTTTTTTAAATAATTTAATACAATTTGATAGATGGAAAGGCTAAAGTACTAAAATGAGTATTATAGTAAATTATTATTTAAGGTATTTGTGTGGCAGATTTTAACTTTGGTATTATTTATAGTAAATAATATTATATCTGTATTATTATTGTTTCATTTATTGATTGATTAGGTGGATTATAATAACAATAAAATAAATATTATATTTAGAAAAGAATCTCATTTTTTTGGAATCAAAGTTTTACATCACTTTCATATAGTTAGTTAGCTATATACATATAGTTTGTAATAGAAATATTTAATTTGGCTTATTTTACTATTGGTTTTTATTATTATTAGTATTTAATTTTGAGGCTTCATTTTTTTTTTTTTTTGCATATTGGCATAAGTTGCTTGATTCTTTTTTAAGTTATTTTTCAATTTTTTTATTTTTATAATTTTATCTTAAGTTTTTATTTGTATTTTTTTTTTTTTTTAATATTTGATATTCATTTATTGTATTATATGTGTCATTATTTTATTAAGTAGCCAATATCAGGCTATCACCATTTATCAGTGAAATTGTGCGTGCACATTTTTTTTATTTAACTCAACACAAATTCAGAAACACAAAACCTGTGGATCCCGACATTTTAGGTTAGTACGGAACTTATATTATAAATTAATCTTTAAATAATGCTGTTATAATTTTAAAAAAAATTACATGTTAAATTTTAACTTGTATAATTAATTTGTCATGATCTTCAATTATCTAATTCTAAAAAACAATGTAAATTATATCCATTGGTTATTTATAGTAGTTTAGTTTTTTAATTAAATATAAATACAATTTAAAATAAAGTGAATGTATTTACTATTTAATAACTTAAATTAACTTATGTCTCATTAGTATATTTATATTTTGGTAAATTATTTCTATCTAATCATAGGTATATTTTAATATAAGTATTTTATTCATTTAAATATATAAATATTTACTATATTTATTTGTTTATGAAAATAATATTAAATTATATTATTTAAAAAACAATTTTGATTGACATTTGGTACAGTGTAGGTATTTTAATTATTGTGTCTAAAATTATAAATCAAAAAGCGTATTTAGATCCTAGAATTAAATACATCTGTTTTGTTTATTATTTCTTTAATTCTTTATCAAGAAATTTCGTTGAGTAATTTTGTGAGATAAAACCATACTAAAATTGAATTAATAATCTTGAATCATTTTTCATATTTAACACTTGAAATATTTTTAAATAAAAACCTAAATTATTGATTTTTATCAAAAGAAACAATTATACTGGACATAATTTAATTTTATTACCTTTTTTTTTTTGTTTTTTAGTTTTTGATTTATTAAGATAAATTATAATGAAATTGTATTAATGTAACTAACTTACAATTTTCTCATTTTTTTTCAATTAATGCTTATGATTAATAATTACATTTTTGTTTAATACTAATACTCATAGTTAAAGATAATGATGATATAATTTTTATAATTTGAAGTTTCGGAAAATTGTACAACTTTTAAAAATTGATAATCGACATTATTACTTATCATCTATTACATTACTATTTCTTAAGAAATAGGTTATGGTTAAAAAAAAATTGTATTTTCATTATAAATTTAAGTATCTACATATTGATATTATTTTGGTATATTGTTAACTTGTGAACTAAAAGTTATTGGTTTATGTAAGTATATATTTTTGTGGTTTAAAGCAAATAATAAAAATAATATTGAATTAAATGGAAAGGTACTTAGTTATTTATGATAAAAGGTTTATCAAAATAAAAATATATTTTTAAAATTTATAAATTAAATATTTTTAAAAATTTGATATTTTATTAACAAAAATAAATATTATAAAATAATATAAATGAATACCATAAACAAATATAACTTTAATATTTATATTGGTAATATATTAAGCATACATAGGGTTAATTAAGATTTTGGATCTGAAACAGTGAAAAAGGTTTTGAGTTAAGTGTTGATCAATGTGGACATTAGATTATTAATTTTTTATTAGACATATATTTTATAAATATATACAATGATTCAATCGCATGATGGTTTTTGTTATATAAGAAAATAGTATAGGAAAACGAGTTTTTATATTAATGCTTGTTATTTTATATTTTTATTAGTATTTGTTTGGTTTGAATTGTTAGGGTAATATAGTATAATTATTATAATTTTTGGAATACTTACAAAAATTGTTTCTTATTGTATATTAATTTGTTTAAGCAATATTTTTACAAAATGAGTTTCATTGTTTGTTGTTTGTAAAAATACCTCTCAATTAAATTATTTTTTTCAATACACGAGTAAGAATATTCTTTAACTTGATATTGATTATAAATTTACTTTATTTAATCTACATGAGTTTGATTTAATTAAATAATTCTATATAGGTGGTACCTACATATTTGATTTTAATAAATATAGTATTAGAAAAAAATGTTTAGATTAGAAATTTATTTTGAAAAGTTGTCTACTATTATTCTGTGTTTGACACATTTATTGTGCTTTATATATAAAATAATAGAATATCCAATTAGAATAATAATATTTATAAACATGTATTGTTACAGTTTTGTATGCAGTGTGTATGCTGTTTTTCTACAATTTGTGCACAAAAGAAATGATCACATCGCATCTACGAAATGAACGCACGTTCTCACTGTCTTGAGTTAAGCGTTGAAGGCTTTCAAGTAGATGAAGCTGTCTCCTGTCTATTTCATACTGTACTTCTACATCGGTCACTTGGAAAATTTTGTTTTGCCCCTGACGGTACATATACAATGGGTACTGTAGGTTTACAAGATGTTGATTGTGATTTCATTGACTTTACATATATATGTTGTTCATCACCACATTTAGACCGCAAACTGCGAAATGATATTTCAGAATTTTCTGAATGTCTTAGACGTGATAATCACACATTTGGACAAATCACATTAGAATTTTTTCAAAAAAAAAAAGCTAGATGGCCATTTCAATCTGAATGTATACCTTGGGAAGTGTGGAACGTGCGTGTGGATTTGTTGAAAATTTGTAATGAAACTAATAGACAAATATCGAAGGAAAAAATTAGTGATTCTTTAAGTGACAAAATAATTTACATAGCAGAAATAATGAACAGACATGAATATTTACCTAGTATACCACCTCAGTCGGAATTAGATTTAGTATTTGATACATCATTTGCTGATATTCAACCATACTTATTTAAGACAAATTATTTAACCAGTGGTGCAAGCAGCCCATCAGTTGGATCAGCTGTTCAAAAGCTTATACGAGATACATTGTCATTATCGTAACGATCATTTCTAGAATAAATGTTATTTTTCTGTTTCTACCAATCTACCTATTAGTGGTAACTTAAATTTAGTACAAAGTAGAGTATATAATATTAGAATTGTAAAATTGTAATACAATTAATGGAATATATTGGAGTTCATTATTTATATTTTTAATGAACAATATAAAATTTTTATTTTATTTTTATTAAAAAAAAGTTATTTTTTTTAAATTTTTATTACATATGTAAAAAAAAAAATCAATTGAAGTTGTTTGTTGAATGTTTATTTATATTTTTTTCATTTAGTCTTCATATTATAATCTCATAAGACATTTTCTAAAACATTTTTATTTTTTTCGTTAAAAATAATATTGAAACTATAAACCTGTTATTAAACATTAAGTATTCATTTATTTTCATTCTCTAGTTTGCTTTCTTTAACTTTCTTATCCTTTTATTATCTTTATTATGATAACATTCAAAATTAATATATAATCATAGTTTTAAAATATCCTAACATTTAAATGTGTTATAACCAAGACTGCAATTTCATTTTATTTTAATGTATTATATTGATAGTCAACGTCTAATATTTTTCGGCTGTTGTCTATCATTTAATTAATGGGTATCAGTCATTTTTTGGGCATCTACTTTAATTTTATTCCATATGTATATTTTAAAATTTTTTAGTTTAACTTGTTTAAATGTCCAAAAATTAATACTGAATGTAAATTGTTCATTTTATTTTTATGTTGCATGAACTGCCAATTATCAGCAATAATTGAAAGTGCTTTGTTGCATAAGGTATTAGAATTATATTTTAAAATTGCGGTTGTAAAATAATACAAAATATATGTGTGAATAATTCTGTTCTTTTTTTTTTTTATGGAAATCAGTTATTTTTATATAGAAAAACCTAATTATATAATCTGTAAGTTTCCATTTTTCTTAAATAGTTGTACCTATATATTTTTATCTTGTACATTTTTTTAATTGGTGATAATTTTATTAATTTTTTTTTTTAATTAATATTAATGTTAAATCTATTGTATGAGTAAAATGTAAGTTTATTTTACTGTTGATTAGCCTTATCAATAATTGAAATTATTTTAGTTACTTATATACATACAATTGCTAGTTATACTATATTTTTTCATAAGTGATCAATTCATTTTTATCTTAATGCAATGTAATTTCATTGCTTGTTTCAAAAAATGAAACCTGTAATTTTTTTTTTTTTTTTTTTAGTATTTGAATCACTGTATTATAGTTTTCATGATATTTAATATATTCTAATGTTATCGATTAATAGTGTTTATTGATTTATATGCCTCAAAATATTCAGAAAAATGTATTTTTGTTTTAAAATTGAATAATATTAATTTATACTAATTTTTAAGTATATCTCAATTATAATTTTCTTTCGTATTGTAATATTAATGAAGACTTTTTGAATGTGACTAATTGTGTTTCTTGTTTATATTTTTAAAAACATCAAATAATACATAATTATATATCAATTTTTAGAATATGCTTTAAGAGTCAAAATATTATTTATATATTAATTACGTTCTGATGATGAATACAAAATTTAATGTTTGGTGCAATGAACATTTTAATCGATATTACTGGATTCATTATTCTATTTTTAATTTCATATATTTTAAACATAAAATGTGTGTATATTGTTAGTCATGTAGAAAATTGTAGTAGCATTGAAATTTATTATGTTACCAAGATTTTGTTCAGTAATAATTTGGACTTGAAGATAAATTTTTAAATTGGTAATGTGTACTATTGTAGTACATGAATTATTATTAATTAATTCCTAAAATGTATAAGCAAATAGTTTGCAATGTCAGTATTTTAACTCAAATGATAATTGATATGAAAAGCGTTTTTTAAAAAATAATTAGCTTCTTCATTCATAAACATCTTTTAAAATATTTTTAAAACTATATTCTATGTTATGTAACTAACGCTTATCATATTATTTGGATTGATATTTGTTAGTCATGTGTATTAAATAGTTTTTTTTAATGTGTTTGTACTTGAGACTAATAGGCAAGTTTTATATCACTTCTTTTTAGTGTTAATAATAATTGTAAATACTAAAAAGATGTTATATATAATTTGCCTACGAATCTCTAGTAAGTATGTACACATTAAAAAACTATAAATAATTATAAGCGTTAACAGTTTTTTAATTATTCTTGTGGTATAATGATACAATAAACATATTTTCCTAGTTGGGTTTGCTTGTTGCGTGTAGTATCACCTAATGTTTTTTTGCTTTAAACATACTTTTTATTTTAAGTCACGGCCTTAAATCGATTCAGTAATGAAATTGTGATGTTTATCAGTGGCGTAGATAAGGGGAAGGTTTGGGGAATTCAAATCTCTCCCAATTTAAAACTCTCAATCAGTAAATAATTAATAATTGTAACCAGAAAAAAATTGTATGTATGTACTACTAATAGTGATGAGAATGAAATCCGGGTTCTTCGAAAATCTGTCAAATCCGCATTTCGGATTTTCGAATTTAAAATTCTGAGATTTGGGTTTATTATTGCAAATTTCTGTATTATAATCATATAACTTTCATTACACCACTTTTTAGTCGTTTATTTAATTCTCGGACAATATGATGGTGATCTGAATAAGATATCTTAATAATTGGTAAACACTAAGTCTTACGTACCATTATTATCGGAGATACAACTAATACCGACTAAATTTTATTTTATGATATCTGACTTATATATTTAATATTATACAAAAATTTGTATATGAGATTCTTATTTAGGATAGGTCAAAATATTATTTAATTTTGAGAATGTTTAATTATTTTGTATTTACTATAAATAGTTCTTGAAAAAAATACTGATTCAATGTTTTCAAATCCGAAATCCGGGTTTACAGTAAAATCCGGATTTCGGTTTTTGAATTTCAAAAATCCGTATTTTTAAACTTCAGCTAATCCGGATTTTTCCCATCACTAACTACTAACAACAAAAATATCTTTTTAGTTACAACGTTCACTGTCGTGGAAAATATATTTATTTTTTCACGTCAGCCCATTACTAATTCTTTAAAGTTGAAACCCCCTCCATTAATAATCTATACCTACGCCCCTGATATTTATCGAACAAAGAATAGTAAATTAAATGTTGTAGAAAAAGAAAAAATGTTTAGTGCTTGTGCATAATAATTAATTATAATAGTGACAATGCAAGTTATTCAAAGTCGAAAGTAGATAATTTACGAAAACGTGTCGTTAGTAATAAATTTACATTTGAGGGGCTAAACTATAAGGAAGTTATACGATTAATATATACTTTTACTTAATATTTATATTTCAATGGATGTCATATAGAATCATGTTTCGATTATTACTATACACTTATAGTGGACGTGTGCGCTATAAAACTAGTAATAATTCCATATTGCTCTTGTTGTTATAATTGCATGCGAACGACTTGGTTACGTTTACGTCCACGCAATAACAATATGTGTCGTAATCAGAACGAAAACAAATACAATAATATTATTATTAATTATTACTTGTATTATACGAATATTAAAAAATAAAAATTATGTACACCACCGGATGTAAAAATAATGATCCGTTTTCTGCTACCGTTACTCGGTTTAATAATGGAATGGCCGTAATTTTACTATAAAATGTCTACATATAAGACGTTTCTGTTGTTATTCGATCAAAATAATGGTAATTGCGTTGTAGCGCAATGTTCGTCGGACATGTTATATTGGACTCCTCGCATATTGAGTAGTTTTATCAATAATTACAATATGATTAAAATAAATACGTTTATAGTATGTATTCACCCAAGTTATTATTTTTTAATTATTACTTTTACTGAAAACGGCTGATGATGTAGAGGTGTGGTGATGCAATGCAATCAGTCGCGTTCAATCACAAATTATATTTCAACGAGTACCGTCGACAATTTAATACCGAATTGTTTTTTTTTTCGATTTACAGGATCTTTTTGTCGTCTTCGATCTGACTGTATACGCGTGGGTGCATACGTGTGATGTTCAAAGATGAGTTCGCCAAAAAGTAAACCCATCGCCTACCGTTCATATTCGACTAAAACCCAGTCTACCAAAGGTAATTGATAATAATTACTTGTAACATTGAAAACACCTACGGTTGAACCTTACTATTTACTGATATGTAAAAACAATTTTGTTTCTTTGTACCTGTTAATCTATATTATTCACAATCTTATGATGTGGTCAGAAATAATATAACGCTATTTTGTACACAGTCAGGGCGAAACTTTTAGGTCGGGTGAGATACTGGGATATGTAAATAGTAATGTTATATTGGTTTTTTTAAATTTGAAACCAATGTACCATTGCTCTCGATAAAACGATTCTGAGTGAAAGAGGTTGGAGATGATCAGTTCATACTTTTAAAAATAGGTAATCTATTGATGGACGATAGAAGAACCGAATTTCTGCAAAAGGTAGATTGAACTTTTAATGTTCTAAGTAAAAAATAAAAGTTTTATATAATTTTAACTATAAAAATGAAGTGGATTTTCATAATTTTAATAGTTTTTAAACGTTTATAAAATTTATTTGTGTATCACTAACTAAGTTCAATTTTTAATTAATCAGTAATAGATATGTAAGAGGTACTTTATATTACATTTTTAAGAATTTGTCAAACCAAAATTATTTTATCGACTTTTTCGAAAAACTTTGAAAATTTAAAAATTTCAATTTTGTCCAAAAAAATCTTGAAAATTATACCATATATAGTCAATGGTAATATAATAATTCAGTAAAAAATTTAAGTTTATAATAATTATTTTTTGAAATATGATGAAAATATAAATTTGATTTTGTCGTAAATCGGTACATCATAAACGTTGTTTTTATAACTATTCGTCAGTTTTTTGGAATAATTAAGAAAATTGTGAGAAAATTCGTAAAATAGCTCCCTTTAAAGTACCAACGAATCAACATATATTAGAAATCTTCTATGATTAGAACATGTGGATGATCAAAATCGTGCATACGGATACAAAAACTAAAAATTACACTTGGTAAAACCAGTACATTCCTTTTTTACACAGAATCTAAAAAATGTTATTTTTATATTTTATTAAGTAATAAAAGACATTTTTTCTTTTCGTGCGTACTATATTAGTCCCATTAATGATAAAATATTTGTAATTAGTGAAACTGAAACTGAAACTGACATTAAGGTTCAAATTAATATTTATTAAAATAGGAGAAGGAATATATTCTATCGTATCCTCTTCCCTATTGTGGAGGGGGGCATTTTGCCATTATTGAAAATTACAGGAGACATAAATATTATTTTGGATACGTGTTTATGTTGTACGTAATACTATGATCTAATAATAAAATTTAAGTAAATAACGTAAGCGTTATATAAATTTGACGATATTGGGTTGGCGACAGACGACAACCCGATTCGCCGACAACATTTATGAATCTACTAAATGTAAATAAAATTGGTTATTTTATGTTAAATGTTGTATCTCTATATCTTGTACATATAACGAAGAATTAAATCTATTTTGAGAATTTTTTTCCCTAAAAAATTGAACCTAATTAATAACTATGTATAGTTCATCCATAGATGATTTCAGTGGTGATAGGTGATGAGTCTATTAAATTTAATTGTAAATTAAAGTTTTGGCTGTGGTAATTTGCACCACCTACAAGTAGTAAATGTTACATATGTTTTTTGTGCGTCGTATCTTCTCACTATGTAATTTGCACCACACGTCCATATTAGACATACGTCTAATACGTCCCATATGTCTAATCAAAAGATACATACTTTAAATTTATTAATAAATGTCATCACGTTAATCCAACTTTATTCTACGAGGTGGGTGATTATGAGCTTTTGTATTACTTGACTTCTGCAATAATTTTGGGAGCGCTTATGATACTCATTAGACCCTTCTATTCAATGTAGTCGATAAATACAAACTATTGAACTCCCATAATTTTTGATCCCACTTAGAATTTATTTTGAACCACATCATACACAGCAGTATTATGTTATATTACATCCAGTGGCGTAGAAAGACTCGTTAGCGCTCTTGGAAAACTTAGAAAAAAAAATGCTTTTTTTAGCAATTCAAAATTTGATGCAATGATATTATTTTTCAACTTTTAATTTTACCAATTTTTTTAAGAATTTAATTTATATTTATTAGTTAATATTGCAGTGTAAATTTTAAATTTTAAAAATTTGCTTTACTTGTTCTAAGACTGGTTTCATCGATAATTTCTTTATTGGTATGAAATTCTCTATACAATTTTCCAAATTCCCTTGAACTATTTTCATAATTTCATCATTAAATTCACAAGTAGTCTGTACATTAAGACAAAATCTATAAATTTAAAAAAGTATAATTTTGAAAGTAGAATAAAATACGACTTCTGCATAGTATTGCGCCCCTTTGCAAATCGCACCTATACCTAACCTCACTGTCTAAAATGTACCCCTGTGTTAAAAAATTAAACACATATAAGCTTATATTTTTGTTATTAATGAAAAGTCTTACTTAATAAAAAACTTGCCTCGGAATCGTGGAGCTTCAGAAAGCAAGACTGGAAAAAGGAAAAATGGATTATCTTTTGGAATATGGAACGTTGGCACACTTTTTAAACCTGTAGCAGTACAATGCTTAGTTGAGGAGACAGAGAGATATGGACTGGAATTGGTAGCCCTACGAGAGATTAAATGGAATAGTGAAGGAACTCTAGATATTTAAAAAACAACTATATTCTACGGCGAATGTAATAAGCATCGTCAATTTGGCACGGGCTTCGCAGTACACAAAAACTTAGTATCTTCAGTAAGAGAATTCAAAAACATTAACCCAAGGATATCAGTGTTAACAACAGAAGCGCAATATTTCGAAATTACATTTATGAATGGGCATGCACCCACGGAAGAAAAAACTCAAGAGGAGAAGGATGAATTTTATGATAACTTGGAACACACGCTTAATGAAATCCTACGAAGTAGAATTAGGATAGTAGATTTTAATGCCAAGTTAGAAAATATTTAGAATATATATTTAGGTCAATGATTGGTAACCATAGCCTTCATGATGTAACCAATGAGAATGGACTCAGGCTCATAGATATTGCAAGTGGTGGAGGACTTGTTGTGAAAAGCACAATGTTTTCACATTAAAACATCTATAAGGGTACACGGAAGACACCGAATGGTAGATATGTCGATCAGATAGACCATGTTCTGATTAATACTAGGTTAAAAAATTGTATACAAAATGTCAAAACAGTCAGAAGAGCTTATTGTGATTCAGACCACTACCTAGTTAAAGGAAAACTCAAGAAACTGATATCTAGAAAAGGAACATTAGTGGAAAGATATGACGTGAATAAGTTAAAGGATACCAATATATGTGGAATTTTCAAGCAACAATTACATGAAACAATGAACAGTTTAAACATAAGTCAAGAAGAGACAATTGATACTAAATGGAATGTGGTTAAGGATGCTATAAAAACGGTCACAGACACAGTAATAGGCAAACAAAAGAGAACAAGGAAACCGTGGTTCAACAACTCCTGTAAAGAAGCATTTAATAGAAGGAAAGAAGCCAAGAATCAATTGCTCGACGACCCCACTTGTTCGCGCCAATATTGTTTTTTGTAAATTTTGTTCATGTCATCATTTTTGTGCGATGCATAGCGGTGCGCTGCGTATCCGCGGCCCTCGTCGGCGACTGTGATAAGTCTCCGTGCGCGAGGAGTGTCTAAACACAGGAATGCACCTTATGCATTCTGCTCATGCGCGTAATTTATTCACTACTATCATAATGTTAGGCTGTTATCAATATATTATATCAAATCACTATAATACGATAATATTATTATAATCATATGAGTTTCGAATCAAATTATTCAAAATTTAAACATACTACATACATATTTAACATTTTTTTTCGTGCTTCGATTATTTCAGTAAATAGATAGTTATTGCTTTTGATTTTTTTTTTTCAAATGTATCTGGTATGTATAATGATTTATTTATTGAAATGATCGAAGCATAAATAGAAATGTAAAATACGTATGTAGTATGTTTAAATTTTGAATAGTTTGATTCAAAACTTATATGATTATAATATAATTAACATATTATAATGATTTGATATAACATATTGATAACAGTCTAACATTATGATTGTGGTGAATAAATTACGCGCATGTGCAGAATGCATAAGGTGCATACCATCGCATGAAAATGTCGTTATTCCACGTTTTCAAATTTTATCAGTTATGTTTCGTGTAAGTTTCAAGCTTAGATCATATACAATGGATAGAATCATCACATATCACACATGTAGAATGAGTTGAATTAACATAACTAAAAGACCGGTGACATCTGCGCATGCTTATCAAATGTTAATCTGTTTTTCGGCTTAAAATTGAATTTAGGCATCACTAATTCTGAATTTACGAAACATTGTTATTGATCATCATTTTGACGTAGCAAATACAATATAATTAATTATATTATTATAATAATGCAATTAGAAACTTAACAATCACTTATACTTTATAGTTAATCGTTATCTTGTTCAATAATCAATTAATTAATATTTGCGCTAAAAATTAATGATAAGATGTCCTACTGTTGTTGGCTTCACAAATTATTTGTATGACCCATCCATTGTATATGATCTAAGGTTTCCAGTCATGCTCTCAGTGCCACAAAGTTCATTAATTTTCAGTTTTGTGTGGTGGCACTAAGGCATTTTATCTTTATTGTGGTGTCCGGCGGCCAGAGCCTTTGTGGTAAATATCGTCGGCACCCAGGGGCGTAGGTATAGATTATTAATGGGGGGGGGGTTAACTTGAAATTATTATAGTAATAGAAAAAAAACAAATATGGGTACATTAAAAAAATTATTTTTATATTATTATAGAATATTTTAAATGGGGGGTTGAACCCCCAATCCCCCCTTACCTACGCCACTGTTGGCACCGCCTCTCTCTCGTTTTTGTGTCTTTGTGGTGTGCACATCAAATTTTCATCGTCTCTACGTTTTTCGCCCTGTTTCTCAAGTTTGTCAAAACCAC